TCTCAAACAAATTATTAAATTTTTAGGATTCAGCTTCAACAACTTGACTTTTATGACGTAATTCTTTTGAAGCTTTCCTACCTCTAGGTCTTTTACCCTTTACAGAGTCACTACCATCACCTCTTGGATTGTTACCAACACTTGGGTTGTTATCACCACTTAGATTGTTATCGTCTTCAAGAGAAATGAAGTTATCAATAGGGGACTCGGGAGTTGAATTGTTTAATGGTGTATGTGTCATTTGACTTCACCATGTTCATAGGAGTTATATCTTATCACTTGATATTGTTTTGTAAGACTGGCCAACAATGTTCAAAAGCAAAATGTTTTTTTTCATCTTGATTGTATAAAAGTTTTGCTTAAAGCATCTGTATGGATAAAATATTAAAAGAATTAATTCGTTAATTTTTATATGCAAAAAATAAATAGTAACATAATAATCAAGATCAACTCTTAGTATATTATTTGGAGACATCTCACTTAGGTGTAGGTATTCGACTTGCACTAAACACCAACGAAATTTGTTGCAACACTTCATGATTGTACCTCATCGAGATTGGGTAGACATTTGTGCTCTTGATTGATAGTTCAGAATGGAGCAATAATTTAAAAAATTCTCCCGAAAAAAATTAGCGTGTAATTGCGAGTTGCCAATAATTGGGTCTTGAGTAATGTGACTCCAAACCCTACAAATTGCCACATTTTTATCGTTACTGAATGATTTCTCTCTCTTTGTTTTTGCTAAACCTTCCATTTGTGTGAAAAAACAAATAAGAAATATGTAGAGATAGTGGAAAGTAGTGAAAACAATTTGAGATTAAGGGTATGTTTGGTTTGTGTTTGAGAGATGTGTTTTAGAGATAAAAAGTACAAAAAATTGTTTGGTTTGGTTTTTTTCAAAAGATGTTTTGGAAAATTATTTTGAGAGAGAGTTTTGGAAAAAGTGATTGATTTGATGTGTGTGAGAGAGAAATTTGTTTGGAAAACTTGTTTGGTTTACAAGTTTTGAGAAATTTTTTTGGAAAAATTTGTTTGGTTTCATTACTTTTAAAAACTTATTTGTAGAGAAAATTTTCCAAAAATTTTTCCGAAATTCAAACCAAACGAACCCTAAGTGTTTGTATTTATAGAGAGCAAAATATGTCCCCCCTCCCCTTTTTTTTATAGCCAATTGAATAAAAAATTTGTTGTCTGTTCAAAAATAAAAATAAATAAAATAAAATATGTAGCAATTTGAGTGATCCAGAACCTTCCATTGAGATTTTCCATCCGTTGGATAATATCATCCAATAACACCATTCCATTTACTATTCTCTCTCTCTCTCTCTCTCCCTCTTACCTAAACCCTTCTGATCTGGTTCGACACATTAGAAATCAGGTTCGATACTTTCAAAACCTTTAGATCCCACTCACCCCCTCAAACAGTAGATGATTATCACTTTGAGAAATCTTATCTGTCTCTTCCTTTCTTCTCTTACTCTCCTCTTCTCATTATCAAACCTCAGATCTTTCTGGATCTTCATCTATTAATCTCATTCTAAATCGAGAAAGGTCAAAACCCTAATTGAAGATGACAAAACCCTAAATCGATCCAAACAGATGAACCCGAAACCCCAACCTCAAACACTAAAGAAGATGAAAACAAAGAAGATGATGAAGAAGAAGAAGAAGATGATGAAAACAAAGCACGAAGATGAAGCCAAAGCTTTAGTGCTGAAATTGTCTAAGAAATCCATCGAGGATCTTGAAATCCATGTATTTTTTGGTATAAATTTGTTTAAGATTTATTAAGATTCGCTTGAGATTGCTTCAAATTTGTTTTAAATTACTTGATTGTTGTTGCTGATTTTTGTTAAGCCTGGTTCTATTTTTTAGCTTGTGCCAAATCACTTGAGAAATTTTTTTTTAGGCTGATTTTGTTTAAAAAATAATTTTGTGAATTTTGTTTTAAAAAAACTTGTGATTTCAATTAAAAAATTTCTTGGTGAATTTTGTTTTAATTAAAAAATTGATCTATCTTGGGAGTTTTTCTTAGGAAATGATGGGAAAGAGAGAGGGAGGGAATGAAGGAAAGCAATTGGTTTTGGGTGAGTTGGCAGATTTGGCATTTGCCAAATTTAACAGCAGCTATTTTCAACCATTGGAGAACCACTTTGATACCAAAATTGCTATAATAGTTTTGGTAGCTCCAATGGCAAACCATTGGAGATGTTGTAGTGGGTTTGGCTTCTTTCAAGTTGGTTATTTCAACTTGAGAGAGTGTTTGGGCTTGGTAGGCCTATTTTATGACCAATTTCGGTGATCCAAACTATTCATTTTTTAGGACTCGTTGAATAGAATATTCATACAAAAAAATCAAAGATTATCGGACATCGGTAACTATATATTTAAATCAGAGTTGTCTTATAATAATTCAAACATATAGTTATCGATGTCCAATCATTTTGATTTTTTTTATGAGTATTTTACTTAAAAAGTGAACAATTTTTTTCAGAGTTGTCTTATAATATATTTAAATCAGAGTTGTCTTAAAAAGTGAACAATTTTTTTTGCGGTAACTATATATTTAAATCAGAGTTGTCTTATAATAATTTTTTTCTTGTCCAATTAAAAAGTGAACAATTCAGATCACCGCAGTCGATCTTAATATGGGCTTACCAAGTCTAAATGCTCTCTCAAGTTAATATGCAAACTTGAGAGAAGCTAAACCCATTGCTAATTCCTTCCCTGAGGGGTTTCATAATACTACGACACTCTTAATTCCATAACAATTTTTCAAAACAAATATAATTTTTACAGACCTATCTTACTAGCAATCTAATCTCCTCATTTATTTTTCAAAACAAACATGGTCTACTATTATACTACTACACAAATAAACACAATAGCCTTATTTGGAAAGTTGGTTATTTTAGTTAGCTATTTGACTTTTTGGCTATTTTAACCTAACTAAAAAAGTTATGTTTGGGAAGTTAGTTGACTTTTTTGTGTAGTTGATTTGATGGTTGTGAGAGAAAAAAGTGAAATGATTATGAGTTAAATGTAACATTTTTGTCTTATTGGTTATTTTAACTTATTTTATTTTTTAATGAATTATTTTAACCCAACCATCTTTTCAAAGAATATGTGTGAGATCTTTAACTTATTCATCACCATAATAATAATTCATTAATTCAAATTTATGGTAAAAAAAAAAGTCCAATTAGTACAAATTATGATAAAAAATTTATCATCACCATACTAATAATTCGTAAATTCAAATTTATGGTAATAATAATTTTATTAAGAGTGCTGTTATTAGCACCTACTTTTCTTCTTTGGACCCCCATCTATTTTATTTTTTTTTAATTCCAACTTTATCCAAACATAAAGTTATATTTTTACTCTTATCCTTAATATTCTAACCCTAATTTTCCAAACCCTAACTCTAATTTCCCAAACCCTAACCCACTAACATTTTCACTACCATCTCCACCGGCGATCAACATTACCACTACTGCTGGCGGCCTCTGTCTCTCTCATATTACTCCTTCCTTTGTCACGAATCACTTCCTCATTTATCTAGGGTTAAGGTTTTGCAGGTCTCATAATCTCTCCAACCATGGTAGCTCCTCCAGTTGAGTTCTTCCAGTGGTTCGGCTAACAGAAGACCACCATCTCCATCGGCAATGAGAATCCATAGATTTGATCATATGAACTAAAAACAATCAAAAAATACACTGCATGATTAGTTTTTATGATCATCTAATCATTGATTCGGGTCGGTGATCTCAAATTGTGGGAAGATTTGTATCAAAAATCAAGTTCAGACAAAGAAAAAGAATTTGGAATCAAACCTCGATTGTAGGAGTGCTGCAACTGTTGAAGATTTGTCGTTCATAGACGGACTGGATCGTCGCCATGGATCGTAGTTTAGATCTACTGTGAGAGAGAGAGAGATAGAGAGACCAATTCTGGAAAAAAGGGATCGCGGTGGTCGAAGGTTGTGGAAGAGTGGTCGTCGATGGAAGAGGTGCTGGGAGGTCGCCAGAGGGGTTGGGTTGTCGGTGGTAAGAAAATTACATAAAAAAGTTAGAGGTCAAAAAATATGAGGGGTATAGTTGGTATTAAGGTGGGGGGTTCAAAGAGAAAATAGGGGATTCATTTTGCTGGATGAGGGTTCAAAGAAATGGAGGGGGCCAAGGTAGGTGCTAATAGCAACCCTCTTTTATTAAACCTATCTTGGTAAAATAACGGAGCCAAATTGGACAAAACTACCCTTATGGTTAACCAATAGAACTTTTTAACCCACCCTAGACAAAACAAACCTAGGGCTTATTTGGAAGGTAAATTTGGGGGTAAATTAGTTAATAAAGATAAAATAGACTATTTTAACCAATAATATAAAATATAACATCCAATTCATAATCATTTTCTTTTCTCTAAAATAATCATTAAATCAATTTAAAAAAATATCCATCAACATTCCAAACACAATACTTTTAACTAAGCTAAAAAAGTCAAGGATTTAATTTATATTCAGTTGAAAGTTGAACTGGATTAGGCAATTGAGATCTCTGACTAGAAAGAATCATTAATAATTCTTACCAATCAAAATGTTTCATTTATGACTCTTTTCGATTAAAAAATTTAACTGTCTGTTACGGTTGAAATTTCAACCATTTTCAATGGTCAAAACCTAAACTTAGGCCTCGTTTGGGAACAGACTAATTTAGTAACTTTTTGGCTATTTGGCTAAAAAAGTAAGTAAAAAAAACTTATATGTTTGGGATGATTTTTTGGCTAATTACGAAAAGATGTGCAAAAAGTAAAGAGAAAAGAGAATCTTTGACTTTTTGGTATGAATTATTAATTTTTTAACTAAAAAAATAATTTTTTGACTTTTTAACTAAAAAGATGAGTCCTCAAACGGGGGCTTAACTCGAATTGAGCTTCTCCGAATGATCTGATAATCGATTGAATGACCGGCACAACCCTTGTCGATTATAATTATCACATTTTGGACCGCAAGTGTCAACCTACATTTCATACGATCACTGAGCCAAAATTTAAACCATCACTGAGCCAAAATTAAAACCATTCAGGATAAGATGAAATTCGAGCAATCAAAGCATGATTCACCTACAAAATTGATCCCCAACAAGGCCGAGACCCGCCACAGAAGTATTTAACTCAACTCGCAGAGCACGAAGACAGACAGAGAGGCGGCTCGGGGGAATGGAGGAGACTAAAGAAAATGAAGAAATAACCGTTGAAAATGAAGCCAATGACTCAGGCAGTCCTCCGGCAGCTCTATCGAAGAATGCGCAGAAGAAGCTGGTAAAGCAACAGAGACGGGAAGCAAAGAAAGCAGAGAAGAAGGCGGCCATGAAAGAGCAGAAGAAGAGAGAAGCAGAGAGGAAGCGGAAGGAGTGGGACGAAATGCTGGGAAGCTTGACGGAGGAAGAGAGGTCGAAGGTGATCGAGTCGAGAAAGGGGATGAGGAAGGAGAGAATGGAGAAGAGGTCGGAGGAGAGAGACAAGAAGATCGAGAGGCTCTCCGCAGCCAAACAACATGGCCAGAACATCGTCCTCGATCTCCAATTTTCCCATCTCATGACTCCTTCCGAGATCAACAGCCTCGTTCAACAGGTCTTCTTTGCCTCTCTCTTCTTGCCCTAGTTTTTTTTTTACTAAAACAATCATATGATGCTTTGTGGACAAACTGCTACCAAGTGATCTGTGAAGGGTACAACAAAAAACTGGACAAAAAACATTATTCACAACTATTTACAATCATCACTTACCATGCTTTGTGGTTTGCAAGTTGCTCTGTTCTCCATTTCAATTGAATGGGGCATGAAACAATATAAAAATTTTATTTTTTGTTGTTGATGATGAGTACCTCACAAATACACCAATAAAAGGTCCAAAAGAAATACAGCATTTTGTCACGGAATGTTCTCATAGGAATTTTATCGAATACCTGGCATGCTTCCAACAATTGGGGCAACGAACTAAAAAAAATCACTCTCTCCAAAACCTTACTAAAGAATGTTATTGTTGCGTCTCGGCTGGAGAGGAAACAAAAATTTTTAAACACAAAAATAATCCATTTATTGATGCAAAAACGGATAAAGAAATTAAGAGAATGAAACTAAATTAAGAAGAATGAGCAAATGAGATACATACCAGAAGGGGGAAAGAGAAAGCAAAAGGCTTTTCCCTGAATTCAAGCTCTGTAACAATTGATAGAAGAGGGTTCCGCATACGAACGATTGAAAAAGAATTCAAGAGTCACCACCAAGAGTACGTGCAAAACAAATTCCATACAACGTATATGAGTTCACCACCAAAACGAAAGCTTTCTAGAGATCCCTAAATTCCTCTTCTTTTTTTTTTCTCTTCCCAGTTTTTGTGTTTCATTTTTTGTGGATTTGTGGTAGAGTAAGTTTCCTTATGTTTCACATAATCTCTAAAAGTAAGAATTTTAGCTGCTCTTTGTTTAGAATCCCTGTGGGAGTTGTCCACTAAAAAACTTTGGGATAAAAGATTATCTGATGCTCCATGCGGCAAAAGAGATTGGCTTGCGCCGGCGAATCCTCTTCTTCAGCAGTCGCACGTTCAAGTTAGAGGAGTTGTCGGTGGATTCCGTAGGTCATTGTAGTTTGTCGAATGTGGAGAGAGGACAGGGGCTCTGCCGGGCTGTTGTTTTGGTTGGTTTTGAAATATGTTGGATTGTGACAAAATTAAGGATGGCATCGCCAGAACTAGATCATCTGAGGTATCTAGGTTTCCTTAGTGGAGGCAGACGGAGTTTAGCAGTGTGGGTTCGTGGGGAAGCTGGCGGAGGGTCTTTTGTCCAAATAGTGGTGATTGTGGGGGTCCGAAGGGAGCAAGTCTTCATTCCTTTGTCGGTTTATGGGGATGGTTGGAAGGGATTGGCCTTGGTTTTGGAGGGTTTCAAAATGGGGGATGGATGGGTGAAACGGTTTGCTAGTTTGAAGGGCAAGATAGCGATGGTGAAGGAGGCACCGTTGGAAGCTTCACCTGGTAAGGTCGTTTCTGACGAGGACTTCGCAAAACCTTGTAGTGAAGTGGGGTGGTTCAGGTTGCTGGACAGATCTTGGTGGGTACGGTGGGGGGAGTGGGTTTAGGGGCTATGTGTGCATGGGTCAATCGATGGTGGCAGTCTTCAGTCAAGGTGGAGGTACGTTTGTTAGGGAACTAGGCTTTCTTGTTTGTGCTCTCAACGAGGCGTGAGGGGAACGATCTGAACTTGGAGTGGTGGTCGGCTTTGGCTCTTTGTGCTTCCAGTCAAACGCTGGCTCCGGAGAAGAGTGTCTGGCTTCGTGTAATGGGCCTACCTATACATCTTCGCAGCGAAATGGTGTACCGTGACATTGGCGACCGGTGTGGTGGCTTTATGGTGGCAGACAAGTCAACGACTGATCTGGGTTGTATCTTGCTGAGAGTACGGAACTCTGAATCTACTCTGCCATACATTTTGGTTTGATGGAGATTGTGGCAATTCACTCTTCTAGTGTGGGTGGAGGTCACGCCGTCGGTGGAGTGTGGCGCCGCCGGTAAGGTTGCGTGTGGGTGATGGTTCTTGTTTGGGATCCCCATGATTTGAGGCGTAATCAGGGGGATATAGTGTGCTATTTGAGGGTGAGTGATTATCTTCACAGATTTGGGCGAGAATTTAGGGGTAAGGGTAAGCGGGCCAACCCAACCTGAGAGAGGCCCAATCGGGGGAGTTCTGGTTTCTTGGGCCAACCATCGGCCCAAACTGTTGGGGGCTAAAATGTGATTATTGGGCTATAAAAGAAGGTAGTATAGTGGTGACCAATGGGTTTGATGTTTTGGGTAATCCTTCGGCCCAAACTGTTGTGGGCCAAATTGTGGGTCAACATTGTTGGGCTATAAAAGAAGGAAATATGGTGAACATGGGCTTAATGTTTTGGGCCAGCTAGGCTAGGTTGGTGGATCAATGGGTCTAGTCATACCGATTTGAACCAGATTAGCTCAACGAATCCTTTTGTGTCGATGGTGTAGCATGACGGGTTTAGGCTTTGACAGTCGATTGATTGAGGGGTACGATCCATGTCGGCGACGCGAGAACTGGCGGGGTGTGTGGGGTGGTCTTCGCCTGATCTCTGATAGGCTGACGGTACTGCTGTTTTGGGGAGTTTGCCGCAATATGGGTCGCCGACAGAGGGCGAGCACCTTTGGGAGGCATTGGATTGTTGACTGAAGGGGACCACGGTAGAAGTGGAAGACAAAAGTCGTTCGGCCCATTCGACAGAGGAGTTGGCTTTGGTGGTTCGGCCAGAGGTAGTGATTACTGAGACAGAGGCAGTGTACCAGGGGAGGAATTTGCTGACTTTGTGACAGAGGTGGATTTTCAGGGAGATGTTTCTTCGCAGGTTGAGGAGGTCTCGGCCTGGGTGTTACCTCACATCAATGAGATTAGTTAGCTCTTGGGTGTTTCTTTTGAGGGTCATGAAGTTGAGGCTCTAAAATTATTTTTGGCTATAGAAGAATCTTAGAGAGGATGAGCTCCATTGAAGCAGGAGATGCCATCAGGAGGACAAAATACGAAGAATTCTAGGGAGCTGTGTAAATTGAAGTGTTCGATAAATTATGATTGGCATAATGAAATGGGTAGTCGTGGTGTTAGAAAGGGTCACAGAGAACAATTGTTGTTGTCATGCGGTTAAAAATCTTATCCTGGAATGTGCGTGGTTTGAATGATAGGAAGAAGAGGGTTTTGGTTCAAGCTCTATTGAGAAGTGTTAAGGCGGATGTGGTGTGTATTCAGGAAACAAAGTTGGAGTGCATTGGGGGAGAGACTGTCAGGGTGCTATTGGGGGGCGTTTCGTGGAGTGGACTTTCTTGCCAGCAGTGGGGGTGGCAGGGGGTGTTTTTCTTTGCTGGGATCGGCGGGTGGTGGAAAAGGAGGATGAGGAGATGGGGGCTTATTCGATATCTTGTTTGTTTCGTAATATTTCGGATGATCACCGTTGGGCCTTCACTGGGGTTTATGGGCCTGTAAGGGGGGTGGATCAAGCCAGCTTTTGGGAGGAGTTACATTGTGTAGCTTTTTGATGGGGGGTTTCTTTGTGTGTGGGGGCTGATTTTATTACAGTGCATTGTATGGCAGAGAAGAAGGCGGCGACATCAATTTCAGGCTCCATGCGGGCTTTCTTTTCGTTTGTTGATGAGTTGGGTTTGGTGGATTTACCGTTATAGGGGGTGGTTTTACTTGGTCTATGGGAAGGGCGATGTCTTGTATAGATAGATTCCTGGTTACTAGAGATTCGGAGGAGCATTTCTCACAGGTGACACAATCGAGGATGCATCGGCCTGTTTCTGATCACTGGCCAGTTTTATTGGATAGTGGGGGGATTAGGAGTGGACCGACGCCATTTCGATTTGAGAATATGTGGCTTCAAGCAGAAGGGTTTGGCGAGATAGTTCAAGGGTGGTGGGGCAGTTATATGGTGCTTGGAGATCCCAGTTCCCGCCCCTCTTAGAAGTTGAAGCTTCTAAAGTCTGATTTAAAGCGGTGGAACAGAGAGGTGTTTGGACGGCTCGAGACTCAGAAAGCTAATGCCTTGGTAGTTATACAGGGGCTGGATGAGAAAGAGGAAGTGGGTCTCTTGTCAGGAGAGGATATGGCTTGTCAGGATGTGGCTCGTAGGGACTTCGAGTAAGTGGTTCGTATGGAGGAGATCAGTTATCGCCAAAAATCTAGATGCTTGTGGCTGAAGGACAGAGATCGAAACACGAGGTTCTTTCATTGTATGGCTAATGCGCATCAACGGGTGAATCAGGTGAGGAAGATACAGGTTAATGGGGTGGAGTTTTCCTTGTCAGAGGAGATTAGGGGGGCTATAGTGGGCTTCTATGAGCATCTTTTTCGACTGAATGGGGATGTTTGGAGGCTGTGGTTGGATGAGATTGTGTTTGATGCTCACTTTGAGGAGGATTGTTCTGTGTTGGAGAGGACATTCACAGAAGAAGAGGTGTTTGCAGCGTTGTGGAGTATGCCTGGAGATAAGGCTCCTCGGTCAGATGGTTTCTCCATATCTTTTTTCCATCATTGTTGGGGTGTGGTCAAAGAGGATGTTATGACTATGTTTGAGCAGTTCCATTGGACGGGACAGTTTGAGAAGAGTTTGAATGCCACTTTTATTGCGCTGATCCTAAAGAAGGGTGGGGCAGAGGATATTCGGGACTTTCGACCTATCAGTCTTTTGGGGAGTATGTATAAGTTGCTAGCAAAGGTGCTGGCAAATTAGCTTCTAGGGGTGCTGGAGAGGGTGGTTTCTGAGTCTCAGAATGTTTTTGTAGGTGGCAGGCAAATCTTGAATGCGGTCTTGGTAGCCAATTAGTGTGTGGATTCGAGGTTGAGGCAAGGGAAGGAGGGGGTCATTTGCAAATTAGCTATTGAGAAGGCCTACGACAATGTTAACTAGGGTTTCTTGCTGTATGTGCTAGATATGATGGGTTTTGGAGCTACTTGGAGATGATGGATTCATTATTGTATTTCAACTATGCGGATGACTGTTTTGGTCAATGGTTCTCCACCAGGATTCTTTCCTACTTATCGAGGTTTGCAGCAAGGAGATCCTTTATCCCCGTTG